GCAGGCAGGATGCAGGCCGTTCGAGAGGGCATGACTCCCGCGGATGCACGGATGCCCATCGGGACGCTGGCGGAGATGGTAATCGGAAGGACCGGGGTGGTAGTCACCAAAATACCAGGGGAGAGGCTCGTGGTAGCCACGGACCTACTCATTTCTCCTTCTATGGTCCGAGCAGCAGGCAAGTGCAGTATGGTATAGCACCACAAAACTTGCCGTTTTTTCAGCAGCCGTGGGCTATAGTTGCGCTCGGCAACCCGTACCCGTTGCAGCCGCCGTCCATGAATCCTGGGGGTCAACAATGGAAGATGACAATCCCACAGGACCCGCTTACTGTCGCTTCCGCCCGCATGATTGATGCCGCCATGCCCCCGGTTAGTACTATGCCGCCCCACACCGTTGAGACGTCGGCCAAAGCGACCCAACCTATCGTTGACCACCCCGAGCTTGTGCTAGAACGTGCGCGGCAGCTATTGCATCGCATGTCTCTGTTGAGTTTCCCCGAGCAGCGACAACCGTCGGCGACGGCGTCGCCGTCGGTAGCGGCTTTTGACGTGCCGTCGTCGAGACTGCCGTCGCCGGTGTCACCGCTTTCGATACTGTCGCCGCCGGTACCGCCGCTGCAGAGGACGGTGCCGCCGGTGCCGCCGTCGCAGATGCCGTAGCCGCCGGTGCAGGTACCGCAACCGCCGTTGCTGCAGTCGTCGGTGCTGCTGCCGCCGGTGCCGCACACACCGCCGCCGCCGCCGCCGCCGCCGGAACCGCAGCGGTCGGCGCCGCACCCACCGGTACCACCGGTGCCGCCGGTGCCACCGATGCCGCCGGTATCGCAGCCGCCGGTGATGCCACAACATCCGGTGCCGTTCGTAAATTCAGAGCCACCATCAATAGCCTCCGCTTTGCCCTCGCATGCATCTTTTGCTAATGTGAAACCAGAGGTACCGCCCCCCGCCCCCGTTGTGACAACGGAGACGGCACAGATTTTTGGAATGGTACCAACGCCCTCCCAACGTATTTTGCCACAGGAATCGCCGGTCTCGGCTATCGCCGTGTCTGTAGCTAGGCCGCCGCTTCCGGCCACGCAGGCGGCCGCAAGCGATTTCGCTGATGTACGGGCACTGCCCTTGTCGTCTGCCGGTGCACGCACTGCGCAGGCACAGCTTGATGCGAACGCCGTTGCCGCCGCAGAGGCGTACGCCCTCAGCGTGCGCAAAGGATACGGCAAGCTCAAACTGTATGCGGTGGTGCCGCTTCCTCCTGCAGAATTTTCTGCTTTCGTTCGTTCGACCGAAATTGTGTTGGCTGAAATCCTGTCGGCCGCTGATACCTCCGGCAAGCAGACCATCAAGTCGCCCACATGGGTGGCTGGATGGTATGCTCCCTTCCACAAGCATGTCCTCATGGCCATTTCGAATCCTCAAGGCGCTAATGCCGCAACCCACGAATTGGTGGATTCTTCATTTTCTCAGGTGAAGCGTTTCTTGGAGACGAAGGACAAGTCAGGGCCCTCGGCATACCGTCGGCTGCTCAAGCTGCTCGCGGATGAGTGGGAACCGAAAGGTCTCAACCGGGGCATCGACAAGCTGCAGGATTTTGGTGTGCCCAACGGCACGCCGTACAGCAAATGCGTTACAAAGCTTAAGGCGTTGGCAATGTCGGAGTTGGCCTCGCACAGAGCTTTCGCGCCGGAAGTGCGCATGGTACAGCGTGCGCTTCGGAACGCTTTGTTGGAGCAGTATCTGAATGTTCTCTCGTCTTTGCCGTTGAAGGATAAGATTCTCCACAACGCAGTGTTTTGTGATCAGGATGAGCTTTGGGATGCTTTGTCTTCGGAGGAAGCACTAAATCATTCGCCCGCCTACAATGGCGACCACAATGGCGACCACGGGTTGGAGTAAACGGCACTAGTTAGTGCCGTGAGCGCTGATTTGAGGTGAAGACA